AAAAAAAAAAAAAAAAAAAAAAAAAAAAAAAGTAGCATGTTATTAAAAGATAAAGGCCAATACCTACAGAAACAGCTAACAAGAATTGAAAATGGTTGCTTCTAAAAAGTGAAACACAGCGAGTAGGAGACAGGAATCTTTTTCTCCTCATAAGTCTTGCGTAGTTTTCTCACTTTCTATAGCTGTAGAACTAAAGTTTGGTAAAAAGAAAATCTAATTTTTTTCAGAAAAGGTTTCTCTATGGCTGTTTCTACCTACATAGCAGTGGATATCATTGCAAAATGGAGATTGCATCTTTATATCTGTTGTTCATAAAGCTCCATCTACTCCAAAGGCCTTTAGAATTTCCACACTGCAGCCTACAAAGCTCTTCTTTTCCCCCCTCCTGTGTTAGTTTACACTTATCATGGGTTCTTTCCCTAAAAATACTGCTGATTGACCACTCAATCATTTACCCCAGACTAATTCTAAAAATAAATGACTCTTGTATTGATTAAATACTGTTATCTCTGCCGTCATTATGCAGGCCCAGATTAATGACATACTAATAACTAAAACTATAAAACTACAGTTCTTGGTATAAACCAGGATACTTTTGGTTCTGCATCATATAAAATGCATCCACAAAACAACTACTGACTTTTATTGCTTGAAAAAATTATTTCTAAGCCTGTCTCTTTAAAACTAAATTTATTATTAAGTGTGTGGAATATAAGGGCAGTAGCTGGCTGTATAAGTGAATTCATTTTAAATAAAGATTATTGTTTTTAAAAATAATACATGTTCAGTTCTGTTTATTGTAGTGGTATTAGCGAAAGACATGACAGGAAAAAAATGACTTCAAATTATTGACTTAGATGGTAAATCTCTAAAACAAAGAAATAATGGATGTACCTTAGTCTTTCTTTCTACAGTATGCCAAGTGAAATTTTAGTGGCATTATTATTTGAGATACTGGCATGGTCAGTTTTTTACTTGTTAAGAAATTCAAACATTTGTGATTTGGTTTTAAAGAGAAACTTAAGTCCAAAAATGTAATACCAACATTCTCACCAAAAGAGGGAGGAACTCCCTCTACTTTAATTCATAATGCTTAATAGGGAATTTTCAAAAGCGAAAATACTGTCAGTTGCATTTCACACTTGGGTGAGAATATCAGTTTGAAGAGGCCTGATTCTCACTCCACATAAAAATTCAGATAAGAAGACCAGCCAAATCCAGAGGCATCTGCATCTCAGCCCAACGTTCTTTCCCATAGCCTGGCCTCACCCCTGGGGTAAATTTGATCATATATAAAATAATAGCTACAATGAAACTGCACATTTATTGAACACTTCGTCTTCATCTGGCACTGCTCCCACGCATTCCTGTGTTAGCTACCCTAAGCGTCCCAGCTTCCCAAAGATGTGGGTGCTCTGACTACCCCCATTTTACCTGAGGGGCTTGAAGTACAGGGGTTTCCTAGCAGTCTAGGTTTCCAGTGACTGAGCCACAAACTCCACTGCAACCATATACTGAAGCCCTATTTAATGCATTAATTGCTTATGGTAAAGTAACTGTGATTCATTGTGTTTGTAAAAGGACCCCTAAGAGAGCTTTGTTATCAAGCAACTTTCTCTCCTGAGTGTAAGGAATTTAGGGGTGGAAGGGCGGGGAAGATTAGAGGAGAAACTGTTTTGTTTCATATTTCTAAATATCTGCCAGGTCACTCTTGGAAATATTTATTAGAGTAAGAATTGTAAGATCCTAATCTTATCACTTGTAAAATATACAGGTCAGTTAAGCCAACTTTCACCACTCAATGCAAACTTGGCGGTGAGGGGAGCAAAGAGACCTCGGAACCTCTATGAGGCTTTCGGAATTAAAAAGTAATTCCCAACAGCCGACTGCAGCCTAATCATCTGAAGCCCAGGGCGCGCCAGTCCCCAGGCCCGGCAGAACACTGCTGCCCGCCTACTCCCAGGCTTCAGCCGCCACTGTGAGGCTGAGGAGCCCCAGGCAGCGATCTGCCCTCCTCTGGGGTCACACTGCGCTTGGTTCAGTATCCTAGGCCACGTGCGATGAAGCAGCCGCTGACATTGGGACCTACCGGGCAGTGGCATCACGGACCTGTCAGCAAACCACGGATCTCGCCCGTAGGGGGACACACCCCCAGCCCCAGCCCGCCCAGGTAAGTCTCTGATTTCTAGCTCCTTGCCCTCGAAAGCTGAGAACTGAAGAAGCAGGTTCCGGGAGCCATTGCAGCTCGGGGCGCAGACTCCCCCATTGAGGCTGCGGTAACCCGGCAACTGGGAGTTGGGAGCGTAGATGTGGGGTCCTTGCCGAGCCGTGGCAAGTCCGCAGCCGTTGGATACAGGTGCCCTTTTTCATAATCAGCGAAGCCTGCGACCCGCCTGCTTGTCTGGCAGGGATTCGGCACAGGCAGCCTGGAGTTCGAGAGCTCAAAACTTGGCCATGCTTTCTCACTGTCAAACACCTCTCGCCTCTTTGCTCTAAAGGGTGAGTCCGAAGTGGCCAAGATGGCAAGGCAATGGCTGCAGCGCCATTATCAATGGCTTCTCTGCCCACTCTCATCTATTCGTGGGGCCCTCGGCCTCAGATTGCGCTATGCCCTATGACTGGCGCCCAGGTGCCCGGCCAAGCCAAGTTGTGGACTCGCCCCCCTCCTGGCTCAGCTCCGCTCCCCTTCGGTCTCATCCGCGCGGCCCTGGGGTCTCGGGGAGCTTTGCCGGGATTGCACTGCTCAAATTTCAGGCGAGTGCGCGCCAAGGGGAGCAGAGACCGGATTCCCTCAACGCCGTGCCCCCAATCCCTGACTCAAGGGAGGAGGGAGCTGCGCTATGCTGGGATCTCAACTCGCCTTCCCTCGGATTCTACCCTACAGTAAAATGTGCCACAGGGTCCGCTGCACACCCACATCCACCCGCTCCCTGCAGCCATAGCCACATCCTCAGCCTCGAGTTCTTTGTCCAGTTTGAGTTTTATTCCAATACCCAAAGACTCATGGAGAAAACTTGGGAGACAGGTGGAAAGAAGATTCAGCGCCCGTTTCTTCAAAAGGCGCTCCCGCAAAGCTTAGCTCTGGGCGCATTAGAGGCTGCGATGCAGAACGCGCCGGGGGAAGTGAGTGTCGCTGGAGTCCAGACACACAGGGGCATTTTTGGTGGAGGCCACAGAAGATCGTTTATAAGGGGCTGGAAGGGGAATGAAAGGAATGAGAAGAGTGATTCAACAAGCCTTTAAAAGAAACCAGGGGTCTGTGGAAACAGCAGTCAGTGAAACCCCGACAGCGCGCAAGCCAAGTGGCGACGCCTGGCTGCCGGGCGTCAGTGGACGTTTCCGTCCTAAGGGCGGACGCCTGAGGGCAAAGGAGTGGGAAACAAGCTCTTTCCGCCTCCGATGCTTCAGACCCTGGTTGGACCCAGGCACTGGGAGTGCGCCCCCTAATCGCCAGCCGGGCGCTGGCAAAGTGGAAATCGGAAAGAAAAAAACCCGAGTGGTTTCACAGCACCTGTAGGACAGGAGCTGCGGACTCAGATGCCCTCCCCTCCAAACTCTTCACCTCCCTGGGGCTCTCTACAAACACCCCGCGACCGCGATGGGCAGTCGTCAAAGGTCGTCGCAGCCACACAGCGCACACCTGAACGACTGCCCGCGCGCACCGGCCCTTAGCGCCGCAGAGAGGAGTGAGGTCTGCAGAGTGGACGGGTGTGTAGGGAGAGGCAAGGAGAGCTGTTGGGTTAGGGCCTGGGGCCTGGGACGCACGCCTGCTCACCTCTCTCACTGGCCTGGATACTGCGCACGATGTCTTCCAGGTCCAAGTCTTTGGTCTCGTCGAAACTGTAGATGGAAGTGTGCAAATCCTCCTCCTCGAAGACCTTGTGGACCCCTTCAAGGGTGAAGTAGCAGTTCCGCTCCAGCTTGTCGTCGCTGTAGACCAGCACCGCGCTGCTCCAGTGGTGGTGGCGGAACAGGGCGAGCATCATCTCGCCCATCTTGGCGTAGGCGGGCGCCACGCGCGTGAGGTGCGAGTACTCAGAATCCTTGCGCTGGAAGCCGGCGGCCAGCGCCCCGGCCGACAGCATGGGCAGGTCCCAGTGCGACGCAAGGCGGGCCACTGGCGCTGCAGCATACTCGCACACCGGACCCAGGATAAGGTCCGGCTTGGCGCCCCGCGCCGCTGCCACGCGGTCCACCAAGCTGAAGAGCGCACGGTTGCCACAGTCGGAGTCCTCGTAGGCCACCTGGAAGCGAGTGCCGGGCGGCAAAAGCCGCCTCCCGGTCCCGTTGCCCTCCACGCTGCGCAGAGCATACTCGATGGCCGGCCGCACCCGGGTCAGCGAGAACAAGTACGAGTTATCCTGGGGCAGTAACACCAGCACCTCGATCTTCTCCGGCGGCAGCGCCTCTCTCTCCTGGCGTCCGCCGCCTACGCCCGCGCCCCCGCCGCCGCCGCCAAAGCCACCGCCAGCAGTGCCGCCGGCCAGCAACGCCCAGCCGAGGAGGACGCAAGGGGAGAAAGTGAGCACCAGCAGAGACGGCATCGTGCCGCAAGAAAGCGCTTGCGCTCGCCGCCGACTCGCCCTGTGCCCCCCACCCACTCTTTCTCTTTCCTCCCCACTCTTCTCTCCAAGGTCCCTGCGCCCCCTTGGGCTCTTTAAGAAAATAGAATACCCCCTTCACTGGCGCGCCAGAAGATAGAAAGGAAGAGTCCTTCTCTCCAATGTCACTAGTTTTTCTTTAAAAAAAAAAAAAAAAAGAAGAAGAAGACGAAAAAGAAAAAGTTCACCTGGTGTAAACCTGTGCGTCTGTAATATATATACATATATATATTCGCCCTCCCTTTATACATATACTATTTTGTTTAGAGGTGGCTTCTTATTTGGGCGTTGCTAAGGTTGCTTTTGAAAGCGTTTTTGTAAAAGAAAAAAAAAGTTAGACTTGTCCAAGTGTTTGTAATTGACGGTGCATCTCCCTCGCGTTTGATCTCATTGATTCGCGCGGATTCCTGGATCCATAGCCCGCGTTTAAATAGCGTGGCAGCGGCTGAGCGTGTCACCACACAGGGCGCGCCGAGGCCGGGCTTGTATTTCCAGCGGGTGGGGTGGGTGGGGGTGGGGAAAGGTGGGGACTGGGCTGGGGGAGTCTCTCATTAACATTCTTACATCAGGGCTCCTCCCCGCACCCCTTCCCTACCCATCGCTCCCCTGTCCCTAACCCCCACTTGCTGCCAGCCCTCTGCCTTTTCCTTAAAGCTAAAATCGCCCACGTCTGCATCGGCGACAGCCCCCATCACGCTGCGCGCCTGAGATCCCCGCCTCTCCCTTGCCACGCTCTCTAGCTCCAGGCTTTGAAGAAGGAAATGTGCTTGAAAGTAGAGAAATGCTCGCGCGCGCACACACACATACACACACATTCCATGCACAACAAAACAACAGGACTCGGGGAGAGGAGTGGTTCTAGAAATTGTGGTTTCGGTGCAAGAATCCTCAGGTGCCGCTTGCTCTCACCTTTCTCATTCCGGCCACATTCCCTCCTGACGCACCGACGCGGGGCTAGCACCTGATCTTCTTGGTCCCTCCGCGCAAGGTCAGGGAACCAGTATCAAGGTCGCAGTGCAGATGGCTCCTTCGCGGACCTGGTTTGCCCGGCTGGCCCGGGCGTCACCCACACCCCGCCTTCCTCAGCCCTGCGCCAGCCCCTCCTGCTGTGCCACGCAGGTTCGCGCTGGAATCGCAGCGGTGCCGGGCCCACAGTGTCCCAGTTCACAGACCCTCTGTAGGCGCACTGAGCGCAGGAAAGCGAAACTTGTTGCTCCCAAAAGCGAGCGAAAGGTTCAACTTCTGGAGGTGTCACAAAGCTCAGAAAGCATCCCCAAAGTGTCCTCGGGGCTTTGTTTGCTAAACCAGGTATCTAAATAAAGAGACTGTCTTTCCCAAAACGTTCCCGGCAGGTCCCCCGGGTCCGATGCACGCTCCCCTCCAACTGAGCGCTCAGAGATCCAAGCGCTCCTCCTCTGGAGCGCGTGTTGCGCTGTGCTGGGGTTCTGCGACGCCAAGAAAGGTCCTGTCTCAGAGACCCAGTCCTACCACTGGCCACAGCCACAACAGCGGTGGAGACGGCAGGGAAGCGGCTCTGAAGGAGTCCGTGACCAGAGGAAAATCGCTGGAGTCTGCCGCGGGGCGGGGCTGGTCAGGATGGAACTGGACCGTCTGTGCCTACTGCACCCGAGTCATTTGCAATGTGAACGTGCTACACTGGGCGGGAGAATTCTGACAATTAAGTCCCGCAAATCGAAATCCATTGAAAATGTGTTAAAACGGTCTTTCGTTTGACTAAGCGCCGGTGTCCACACATTTTCTTTTAGTCTCAGACCAACGCCCTCTTTCGGCAGAAACTTGAACCCGACTCAATCCCGGAGGCGCAGTCCCAGACGCTGCATTTTTACTCATCGCGCTCTGGTTCTCTGACTTTTGGCGGTGAAAAGGCAAACTGGGGTTTCTGGGGATGTGGCAACTTCTGGCGTCCGCGCTCGCCGCCCTTAACAGCACTCTCCTTGTCGCTCTTTCTGGAACTGTCAGTGTGATTGTGGGTAACGTTTCAGCTTCTGGGTCATTTAGATTTCAGTTTACCCAGTGTGATCCCGAAATCTTCACTGTTATGTAGGAGCTTCTAATTCCTGCGAGAACTTTCATTTATTTGATTAGAGCCACTAACTAGGGAGCAAAAGAGACATCTATATAAAATTTCATTCGACCAACGGGGTAATACACACACACTGGAAATTGAGCTTTAGTTCTTCACAACAATTAATTCTTTCCTGAATTTGCAGAAGGGCAGGGGTTTACATTTATAGCAGCATAGGTTTAAAAAAAAAAAAAAAGAAGAAGAAGAACAACAACAACAACAAAACAAGGGCTAAATCTCCAATTCCAAGGGTCTTAATGGATTTCAAAACTGGTTTCCAGGAGACATGAAGGAACCAGGGTTTCCTATTACTCCGCAGTGTGCCCTGCGTGTGGGGAACACCAGCCGGTGGCAATTTGATTCTGCTGTGTCTGGTGTGGGTTTACGCGGAGAGTCTGTGGTTTCAGTGGCCCCGGTGTGAACGCCTGTCCCATCCCAGATGCTAGCCAGCCTCGCCTGCAGTTCAACAGGCGCTTACGGTAGGGTGAGTGCCCCGTAGCCTCTCCTTGTGGACATGAGCTGTTGACCTGCAGTTTGTCACACTTAAGAGCACCAAGACCAAGCTGCGGAAGGGAAGAGCCCCAAACCACCCAGCAGAACGAAAAACAAAAAGCCCGTATTATGCTCTATGCTGAGGCTCAAAACACCCCCTTAAAAATTCCAATGAGCAAAAGTTCAAAAATTTTTTAAAGCTTTTCAAATGAAAAGAGTCAGAAGATTATAAGACGACCCACCAAGTAACATAAGTGTATGGATTTTAATGTTATAGGTTTGTTTACTTTCCATCAAATTAGAATTTTTGTAACCAACTGAAAGTTTCTCCAAATATGTAGTTCTAAATCTTCAGGCCAGAAGACTTAAGAAGTCACCCAGCCTGACACCCCTCACTCTCTAGATGAATTAAGGCCCAAAAGGAACGTCTTCATCCCCTGAGAATATTTTTAAATAGGATTGGATTCAAAATAAACCGTGGACCACCAGTGACATCATGTAAAAAGCGTTAGGAACAAAGCTAATTCCTACTCTAAGTAATAACATTTTTATATCAAATTTATATATATATGTATATATATATATATATATATATATATATATATATATATATATATATATATATATATATATATAGCTAAGTTTTGAGGCTAGTACAGCACAATAAACCCAAAAATAATATTTTATGATAGAATTTTTGCAGCACTTTAATCAAAAAAAAAGAAAAAGAAAAAAAGAGAAAAAATAGAAATAACATTTCTTTGATTCAATTTTTAAATACTATTTCTTTCAATTCTGTAAAACACCAAAATGGGGAAAAAATAAGTACTTTTTTAATCTTCAAAAGAGTGATAACCTTTTTACTAGCTGCTTCCTTTCTGGATTCAGTTGTTGAAGGAAACAAAGGAAAGATACGAGAAAATGGTGCACAATAAAAGAAAATCAGCCATTTGAAAGAAAGGCAATGTTGGCCCTAAACATGATATTTCAGAAACTAATAGACTTTTCGTGAGGCTTAGAAACGTTTTACTTAATATCCACAAGCCATGTTTTGTTGTTTGGGTTTTTTGTGTTTTTTTAAGTTTTCTGTAGAGTATTCAACACTTTGTTTTCCAGCTCTACAAAATGAAATTACTGTCTTTATGTTATTTCTCACTACCAGGAAAGACACCACTAATATAGGCAACCTAACATGTAATTCTGTGAAGTATTGTTAGAAATTCTATCAGAAGTAAGTTTTCTCCACCAACTGTAACAGTCTCTGTAACTCTTGTCACTTAGCATTCTGGCTGCAACCTCTAACGTAAATGCCCATCCAGATTTTCAAAGGGCCTCTTCTTCCTTGTTGAGCCAGCCCTCATGTTGTATTCAAGAATACCCCTGTGAAGCCTGTGGCCCACAATAAAATACCTTCTAAGGGCAGAATTGTTGAAAACACACTCCCCCCTAGAGGCAGAAAAGATGAAAGAACATTACAAATAATTCAAGAACATTTCTGTAATGTAATGAGTGTTGAGATTTCATTCTTAACATATAGTTGCTGTTTTAGAGGGAACCATTCAAGAAGTGAGGGAAAAAAAATCAATGGATGCCAAAAAATTAAATTAAAACTTTGCCTCTAGGTTCTCAGTTTCCTTAGCAGGGACTTTATTAAATTGTTCTTTTCTTCTGTTATACAAATCTATGATTTTAATTTGCCAGCACTATAAATAATAATAATTTTATATTTTCTATGATTCCATTTCATCAGAAGCCACAGCTAACTGTGACCTTAAGGGGTTCTTTTGAAAAAGAGTTGTTTCGCTATTATAATCCTCTTAGATTTCCATCAACTACAATCTTTCACTTCTTTGAAGATGTTCTGAGGCAAAGTGACATTACAAAGACTTCTGAAAAATGTATAACCTAGTCGTGATTTAACCTGAATACTGGCATGAGATTTGCAAACTATATGAAGAATTTTCATAACATTGATTTATAGACAAGTTACTTGATGTAGAATATTATATTCACAAAAAAGTGAATGTATGGGGGGACTTCAAAAAGCTCATGGAAAATGGAATTAAAAGATAAAAATTTTAAATATGAACTTTATTTCTCAACCATCAAGTTCAAGACACTCTTCTGAGTGGTGATACCAACCATGTAGTTTATCCCTAAAAAAAACTAAGGGTCCTGGAAACTTAACCATGTCAATGCAATCTTTATTAACTGAAGAAAAATGAGTGCTCTTTACAGATTTATTTAAGATCAGGAAACAAAGATAAGTCAGAAGGAGCCAAATTGGGATTATAATGTGGATACCTAATGATTTCCCATCAAAATTCTCACAAAATCACCCTTGTTTGATGAGTGGAATGAGCAGGAGTATTGTCATGGTAGGGAAGAAGTCTCTGGTGAAGGTTTCAGAGATATTTCTCTGCTAAAGTTTTGGCTAACTTGGTCAAAACACTCTCATAATAAACAAAAGTTATCCTCCAGAAAGTCAACAAGCAAAATGCCTTAAGCATTCCAAGAAACCATTGCTATGACCTTTGCCCTCGACCACTTCCACCTCTTAGTAGCCACTACTTTGACTGTGTTTATCTTCAGGATCATGTTGGTAAGGCACAGTTTCATCCCCTGTGTATTATGCCATTCTTGCAGTAACATAAGGAAATACCTGAGACTGGGTAATTTATAAAGAAAAGACGTTGAATTGGCTCATGGTTCTGCGGAATGTACGAGAAGCATGGCACCAGAATCTGCTCGGCTTCCAATGAGGGCCTCAGCAAACTTACAAGCATGGCAGAAGGTGAAGGGGGAGCAGGCATCTCACATGCTGAGAGAGGGTTGAGGGTTGTCCGGGAGGTGCCACACAGTTAAATAACCACATCTCATGAGAACTCACTCACTATTGCCAGGGACAGCACCA